TGGTATCAAGCTGGCTGGCTGTTGGTTTAGGACAATGACAAGAGACATTTGCATGCCTTTTTAAGATGCAGAGATCCACACTCAAGCACCAGGCTGAGCTCCAGGAGTTCAGTCAATGAGAGAGAAGAGGGATTCTATGAGCAAGGGACATCAAGATCATGACAGAGACAACCAAACCAAATTATTGGGAACTCATGAACTGTGGAACACTAGCTGTGGAGCCTCCATAGGACTGGACTAGGCTTTCTGCATAGGTGAGACAGTTATTTAGCTTGAACTGTTTAAGGGGCCCCCTGGCAGCAGGATCAGGATCTGATCCTGGTGCATGAGCAGGCTTTTTGGAGCCCAGTGACTATGGTGGGACACCTTACATGCTCTTGGTGCTTGGCAAGGGGCTTATACCTGCCTCAATTGAATGTACCAGGCTCTGCTGACTCCCCATGGGAGGCCTTGCCTTGGAAGAGGTGGGAATAGGGGTTAGGTTGGGGGGAAGGCTGGGGGCAGGAGGAGGGAGGAGAGGGGGATCCGTGGTTGTTATGTAAAATGAATAGAAAATTTCTTAATAATAAAAAAAGAAAAAGCCACATACCCATTTAAAAAAAAAGAAAAAAATCTGAAATGGGATATTTTAAAAGCAGAAAGTAAATACTCTTGTATGAGTTAGGTTAGGTATCATCAGTGTTCAGACATTGCTTCGAGAGTGATCAACATGCCTATGTGAAGGGTCAGGCATTAAACTGACCTAAAGAGAACAGATTGTAAATGAAGACAAGAATACTAGGATCTCATCCTTCTTTTCCTTGCTCTGTGGACTAAATGAGGTGGTAGTCTAGGTATCTAATATGACTGGATGCCACACTTAATTTTCTGAATAATTGAAAGATCTTGTTAATCTGTGAGGATAGTTCTGCTAGTTCTTAAATAGCAGTCCACTTTTTTCTCCATTATTACAAAATAGAATTGAAAATGTGGTGAGGCTTTCTGGTCTGAAGATGTAACGAGGGAAAGACAGTGCTTGAAAAATATCTTCTTAGGTAATCCAGTTTGGGATGATCGTTAAAAGACGGGACAGTTTCTGCAGTCATGTCAGCAGATTAAAAGTCAGAGAGACAACAGAGACAGGAAAGTAATGGTAAGAAGCAGGTAGGAGTTTAAGGGAAACAACAGGCTGCAGAGCCTTTGCCACTCATCTAGGATGCAAATCAGAGTCTGTTCCCTGAGAAGTTACCAGGTTGCATTAAGATAGGGTAGGATTCTATTCCTTGATTTTGCATACACTAATTTCAATGTAGAAAATCACAAGGAACTAAATTAGAAGGCATTCTTTTTGTTTGTTTGTTTGTTTAAGACATGATTTGTAGCTAGAGTTTTCTTGCCTTGCCCACAGTCAGGGCGCCAGATATAGATGTAACCAACCGTCTTATTAAATAAGAAACACAGAAACAATGCAAAAGAGAAAGCTGAGAGGTCAGAGCTCAGAGCTAAAATCTCACCCTTCTGCCTGTGGTGTCCCAGCTTCCCGAATCAGGGTTCTATTTCCTGTCTGTTCGTCTATTTAAAGTATTTTGTTCTGCCTTCTCATTGGTTGTAAACCCAAACACGTGACTGCCTCATCACTGTCTGAATGTACAGCCCCCTAGGTCTTAAAGGCATATGTCTCCAATGCTGGCTATATCCCTGAACACACAGATATCTATGGGATTAAAGGCGTGTGCCACCACCGCCACACTCTTGCTATGGCTCTAATAGCTCTGACCCCCGGGCAACTTATTTATTAACATACAATCAAAATCACATTTCAGTACAATTAGATTACCACTGCAATGATTTCTCTGTGTAACAGTCCTGGCTGTCCTGGAATTCTCACTGTATACCAGGCTGGCCTCAAACTCACAGAGATCCACCTGCCACTGCCTCCCAAGTGCTGGGATTAAAGGCCTGGGCCATCACTCCTGGCTAGAATGCATTCTTTAAAAAAAAATTAATGCACAAATTGAAGAGAAAACTGTAAGCTCCATTCTCAAAGGAGTCCAGTTAGTAATGTCAGAAGAAGGAAGATCTCCAACATATGCCCTGTAATTTTGGGATAGAATTCTTAAATTATTTCCTCTTTCAGTTGGTGGTGTTTTCAGTTTCAGTTCCAGAGGTGAACTATATTGAGTTTAAAATCCTTTGGCGCTTAGGGATGGTTCAGAACCACATGGCCACCAGTGAGTGAGGTCGTTGCAACCTTAACATGCTCTTCCACATCTGCTGCAAAGTAGCACAGTGATGGTAAAAACTGGGTGGTTTTAAAATAGATATACGCCCTACTACTTTGTATGTGATTGCAAAGAATTATCTGGATCACTTCCAGTCATGCTTGTGTTCTAGTGTTTGATTTTTAGTCAGTAATATTGCCTTGGCACCTACTCAGTTCTGCTGAATGCTATAGAGGACTACTTAGGTTTATATGTCAGTGAAGTATTATAAGAGACTTGCATGGGCTAATATTTCTTCATAACTTACTTAAGATGTGGAATTTTGACATTCAGTAGCTATACTGTGTACTCAAAACTTTCTAGAAATATTTATTTTATGAAGCAAAATCGTAAAGTATTCTTTTGTTAGTTATGTTTGCGAGGGTTTGTACCAGTAGATTTGAAAAAAGTTTTGGAAAACTACCACCATAAGATGTGACTAACTTTGAAATATCCAATCTCTTATCATTACTTCAATTCTTTAAACTTTCTGTTAGAGTTATTAGAAATAGAGTCTAAGAATAATAAGCTATTTTATTATTAATAATACATTCATTTTTTTAAAATATGTCTACGTTGTATTAATTATTCAACACCATGGTTGATGTTAATTTAAACAATCCTCAAAAAATTACATTTTCCCTGAAAGTTATATTCATTGATTTGTTAATTTAATATATTAATCTAAATACAATAAGAACAATTTTAGCACCAATGATTTTTTTCTTCATAAGTAAAATAAAAATATGCTCTAAATATAAATTTCAAATGTGATTTTAATTTCAAAGTCACCCAATAACAATTTTCCTTTAGACTTTTAAAGCTGTTATCTGACCAGTGAATAGAGGCTGTATCTTTTATTTTTTAATAATTCTCATTTTGCAGTTAACATAAAACATTTTCATGTCTACTGTAGCTTTCAAAGTTTGATACAACCTCCATTCTTATTACATTTTTACAAGCAAGTAGAAAATGATTTATGTTTTTTCATTTCCAGCTTTACATAAAGCATAGAATTTCAATAAAAATGTATTCTAGAAACCCGTCTCTAAAGTTTCTAGCCAATCTCTCTTTAAAGGAGAAAAGTTGTTTAATAATGGGCCCCAAAGTCATTATCATACAATGTGTGGGTCTTTGCTACATGAAGCACAGGCCACTGGGCACTATTGATTTAGGAGAATGTAGTTAGATTGATTTCTGAGTTCTCCATATGGAAGCCTTTCTTTAATGAGTGTGCCTCCTAGACTAAGAGGGAGTAGAAACACTATTTATTAAAGACAATTATAAAGTTTCATTTTTTTACAAGTGCATTTAATATCTTTTGCTAACTCCCAAGGAAATAAGAAGTTCTGACATGATCTTTTATGATAACGTGCAGAAACCTACTTAAGACTTGCAAGCAAAAATTAAGCAGTTTAGTAGTGAATTATTTCTTTCATAGAGCATTAAACATTAATAGGATAATATTTCTATTTAGAACCAAGAAACAGTGTCTAATTAATAGAGCAACATATTTATTCATGTGATTCATACAATATATTAATAGTGTTTTTCCAATCTCTAGAGAAAATGCTCTATTAGCTATTATTTTCCACAAAAGAAGAGAAACATTCTCATTTGTGTCAGCTTGTGGCATTCCCTTAGGAAATGTTTATAAAAGCAATGTTATCACTTAAAGGTCTTACCACATTAGAATTAAGAAGTGTGCTCTGTTCAGGCCAGCATTATCACCTCCAGCTAGGTGCTTAGATTGCTGTGGTCCTGTCAGTCCATAGGACACCAATCCAGGGAGCTTTTATCTCTATAGTCTAAGCTGACTCACAGGTATCATTGACAATGGGAGAGAAAAAGTGGTTTCAATGTCAGAATTTTGACCTATGTTGAATTGACCAGTGTTCCTGGAAAAAGTAATTAGTCACTCATTTTTGATACCCTTAAGAGCAGTGTTTCTCAAATTGTGCTGTACAAACAAATCTGCTTGAGATCTTATTGAACTATAGCTCCTATTTCAGGTCAAGGTGAGGACAGCAGTTCTCACTTCCAACAGCCTTTTGAGAGATGTCCATTGTGATGATGTACACCCCTGCTTGAAAGAGGCTACACTGAAACTCAAGGAGATAGTTACAGTGTATCAGTTTCCTCTCTCCCACAAGGTGGAGCTAATCGGAATCCTCTCAAGAATGTTTTTCCATTATATGTGTGCTGAAAGTAAGGCGGTCTTTGCAAAGGTAAGACAAAAACATTTAAGTATCTGCCCTATGTATTCCTAGCTTAGTTCTGACAATTCTGCACTCTGTATATTGCTTTTCTTTTTTCCGAAGTATACAATGTCTTCAGTGTCTTGTTTTCCATTCTGATGACCTTCCCTTAAGCTTACCAATAGATTGTTCTGCTGATCAATACTTCAAACTCAGTTTAATCCTTTAAGGATTATAAAAAGATTATATGCTCATTTTTAATATAAATCCTATACATCTATCTAGACAGACTTAAAGAAAAATATTGTACAAGGGAATACCTTTCTAAACACTTCTCAACTATTAAGTCATTACAAAGTAAGTTTGAGGATGTAGTCCAAGGCCATTCTCTAACCTTTGCACCTCTGCAAAGGAACTGCATGATTATTTTGCTGTGTGGATATGCAGACATGACAATTAAATAAGTGAAGGATTTTCATATCACATCCACATAGGTTATTGCCTTATCTGAGAGACTTGAAGAGGAAAACAGGATCATCTTTTGTCCCATATGTAAACTTACCTCCAAATCCATTCAGGAGACTTCAGAACTTTAGAACCCATGTGGTAGAAGGAGAATGATGATTCTTGCAAGTTGGGATCCCACATCCACACATGCACTCTGGTATGCTTTCCCACACATACAAAAATAAATAAATAAAATGGAAAAATATTAAGGTTCTGAGTAGAAAGTAAGTTTACAAGGAGGAGTCTTAAAGTATATGTGCTTTCTTGTGAGGAAGCTATTCATTTTATACTTATCCTTTCTAAGGTTTAAATTCACATAAATCCTCATATGTAAACTGAATTCTCTGTTTGTGTCAACAATCTATTGCTAACTTAAGAGTTATAATCACATCAAATTAAATTTAAGAATTGGAAACATAATTAATTAATCAATAAGATTCTTGCCCTTATTGTCTTCTAAATGACCAGCCTGTTAGAAATCTCTATGAAAAGATTAGTTTTTATTTCCTAGAAATAATTTATAGTATTTTTCACATTAAGTGATTATCTTATCTTCCTTATTGTCTTAGTTAGGACTTTGGTTTTTTTTTTGGTTTTTCGAGACAGGGTTTCTCTGTGTAGCTTTGCGCCTTTCCTGGAACTTGCTTTGGAGACCAGGCTGGCCTCAAACTCACAGAGATCCGCCTGCCTCTGCCTCCCGAGTGCTGGGATTAAAGGGGCATGCCACTACTGCCCGGCAGACCATGCAACTCTTATAAAGGAAAACATTTAATTGGGGTGGCTCACTTACAGTTTCAGAGGTTCAGTCCATTATCATCATGATGGGGAGCATGGTAGCATGTATTTTTTATCTTTTCTATCAACTCTTTCCTCTTTTAAAAATATTTAAAATTTTTAGTTTTTGATTTTCTTTAAAAAACATTCTTTTCTAATAAAATACATCCTGACCTCCACCTCCCTTCTCTCCATCTACTTCTCCTAGTACCAACCTCTGTTTCCCCATGTTCACACATTCTCTGTTCCCCTTCAGAGAAGAGCAGGCCTCCCAGGGAGATTAACTGAACATGGCGTAACAAGTTACAATAAGACTAGACAGTTACAATAACCGTCCTGTCAGGGCTGGGTGAAGGAATCCAGTAGGAGGAAAAGAGTCTCAAAAGCAGGCAAAAAAGTTAGAGACACCAGCATTCCCACTGTCAAGAATACAACAAAAATACCCAGCTAACTACCATACTATATCTGCAGAGGACTTAGTACGGACCCACTCAGGCTCCGTGATTGCTGCTTTAGTCACTGTGAGCCCCTATGAGACCTGCTTAGTTGATTCTTTGGTCCATATTCTCCTTGAACAGAAAGCTAGGTATCTCTTAATTCCTTGGAGTTGGAATTACAATACAGGTGAATATGATCCATCTGACATGGGTTCTGTGAACCAAACTTAGATTCCTACTGGAGCAGTACACACTCTTTACCCATGAGTCATCTTTCCAGTTCAATTGTTTCCTTTTATTAATATGCCTAAGTTACAAAATAAGGTTTACAAGACATTTTCAGACTATCAATATGAGCATAATTTAAAAACAAATTAAAAAATAAATGAGTAAGTATAACAATAATGTAAAATATAAAAATTCTCACATTTTAACTACTTCAAAGGTTCATGGCTAGTTATGATTTATACAATAGTAAAACTCAATAATTTTTAAGACAGTTATTGTTTACACATGTCTGAATTACAGCATCAAGGTTAATGGCTCAAGGAAGAACAAAAATAAAGAATATTTAATAATTTTTTTTACCACAGAAGGAAATAAACTTACATAAATAAGATCATATAGGAGAATTTAATTGGAATATTTTGCTAATATAACGTTAAAAATAAACTAAAATTGACAAGATTTTAAGAATTTTGCAATTCTACAAAGTGCCTTTTATATTATAATATTAAAATGCTTACAATATACAACTTAAGGCATCACTTGTGTATTTAGCCTAACAGCTAGAAGACAGTTAAATTTGGAGGTCTATCAGAAGATTCAGCCACTATACGTCACTCCTAATATTCAGCTGCCTTTGTGAGCTCTCTCAGAAAGTAGGCTGATGTTCCTCAATGGGAATCTTTACAAATAACAGCCACAACATAAGTAACTTTGCTGATTTAATGATTACCTACTAGCTGAATAAGGATATAATAATAAAACTGTTGTGAAGATGTCATTGTCATAAAAATACAAATGTCCAATCTGATACCTTCAATACAAATTTTATTTCTGGGAGTGGCTTCCCAGTTTGCAGATTACTAATATTAAAATATGTATAATAGATTTTTGAGAAGTACAAGTTGATGTAAATTGCCTGAACTCTCTTTACATCAGAAGACCTTTGTGGTCTAGAACACACACAAATTAAAATACATTATTAATATTTGGCTCACAACTTCTTTAACCTAAATAAATGTGATTGATTGATAGCTCTGCTTGCAGTATTATCCCCATACATAATTGGATTATGAAAATTATGGTTACCTTATATGCAGATTCCAGTAATGGGAGTGAGGACTTTATGATAGTTAGTTTTTGTCAACTTGATCTGAACTACAGTCATCTAGGAAGAGACTACCTCAACTTCTGTCAGACTGTCCTGTGAGCACAACTATGAGGCACTTTTTTTGGAATAATTATTGGTGGGGAGGCTGCAGCCCACCACTGTGGCTAGTGCCATCCCTGGTCAAGTTGTCCTGAGTTGTGGAAGGAAACAAGCTGAGCAGGGCACAGCTACAGGCCGGTAAGCTGTGTTCCTCCACAGTCCCTACTGCAGTTCCTGCTTCCAGGCTGCTACCCAGAATCACTGCCTTGGCTTCCCTCCCTCATGGACTGTAACCTATAAATCCAAATAAGTCCTTTCTTCTCTCAAGTTGCTTCTGGACATGTTCTATCACTGCAACAGAAAGCAAACTAACACAGACTCCAATGAAGAGAAATTATATAATGATGAAAAAGAGTACAAGATACCATTTAAATTTGTTCATCTCAAGTACTTGCATAAACATTTGAAAAGAGGCACTCAATTCAAAAGAGGCAGTATGAGTTGCCACTGTAACAGGCATTAGTTAGCTGCTTTTTTGAACAACATAAATTTCATAAGATGTTTAATGTTCTGCAAGTTGGAAACCACACTACTATGCTGTTCAGTTGATTTTTAATCAGACACTTTTCTGCCAAAAGTCTAAACTGTGGAGTAGAGACTCTTCCTGAATACTACCAACCTCCTACATGGGTATGCATCTCTACAATTGTCCTGGATTTATATATTTAATTTAGAATTGATTTGAACAAATACATACATCTTCAGTTGATAAGAGATTAAAAGAAAATGTCATGGTAAGTTCTAATGTGATAATAAGGGTATGTCAAAACTGCTAAGGGTCTGAGATAATGATTAACCCACTATGTTATTATGCCCCTTGTTTTTAGAATTTAAAAACAATAATATTAATATTACAAATTAAAGGAAAATCCTGATAAAATAACAGAAAATATCACGTGTAAGCATGAATAAAAGTTTTGGGTTTCTATATCTCTGCACCCATATCAATGAAAGTGTTTAGAAATTAAAGGTATTATTTGGAATTATTAAATAAGTTGGTGTGAAAGAATGAGGTGTTAGGAACTCAGAAATTTCACAGAATATTGTAGCTAGAGTTTTCCTGCCTTGCCCACAGTCAGGACAAATCTTTGTAACCCTCCAGTCCCACAGCCACGTGGCTTGTGGCTTACCGGTATCTTCACACGCTGTCATGGCGGCGGCTGGCAGTGTCTCTCTGCCTCAGCCTTCCGCTTCCCAGAATTCTCCTCTCTCCTTGTCCCACCTACTTCCTGCCTGGCCACTGGCCAATCAGTGTTTTATTTATTGTCCAATCAGAGCAATTTGACATACAGACCATCCCACAGCAGAATATTTTTTATCATTTTCATAGAAAGCATTTGCTATAAATGTGGTGATATTAGGTTGCTTCTAAAATATTTTCCTTAGCGTGGAAATATTTTTAAAAATTCAATTTAATTTGTTTTTGTAATTTTGCCATAAAATAAAGATAGCTTCATTATTTTGAAGTATTTTTTTTATTTTGTCCATCAGTTTTGGTTATGATTTGTAAGAAATGGCTATTATTAGCGATAATTGCAGGCTGAACTATCAAAAATGTCTGATACCCTCCAGGACTTTAGCTTCTTCCTGCCCATGTTTACCTTCCACTTTGTATGCCCAATGAACTAATCCCTTTTATTGCAACAAATCTCAAATTCCACCCCAAAACTAAAGCATATACAAATTTCTGTGTCTGTCATCCTATTATCTTGGCACATTTTGGACTGAAAACTAGATAGATTTATATAGACAGATTTTTTTTTGAGCCACCAGCTCACAAAAAAATGACACAGAGACTTATATTAATTATGAAAGCTTGACCTATAGCTTAGGCTTGTCCCACTAACTTTTATAACATAAATTAACCCATTTATATTAATCTATCTTTTGCCTAGTGGCTTTTTACCTCTCTTTAATCTTATACCTCCTGTTTCCTCTCCACATCCTCTGGCATCTCCCTTGTGCCTAGATTCATCTCCTCTTCCTCACTCTCTGCTGGGAAGTCATACCTAACCTTTTCCTGCCTAGCTATTGGCCATTCAGCTCTTTATTAAACCAATCAGAAGGCACCTTGGCAAAGACACATCTTGACAATGTACAAAAAGATTATACCACAACAGATGTATTCTTCTCTGATGCAGCCAATTTATGATAATGAATTAGTCATAGATTCACCACCATACAAAACAACATTTGGAGAAGGATGCTGAGGAATGTGGATTTCCTGGAGTGTGGTGCTTATTATAACCAAGACCAGGGATAATGAAAATGACGTGCCCAAGGGTGGAACTGGCTTCTTAATTACTGATCTATCACACCCTCTTTTTCTTTTCACTTATCTCTCATGGGTCTGAACTTTAGAATATTTGATATTTTTTTCTCTGACTAATTTTCTCTACGTTGAATTCATCCATATCTGAGGTTGCTTTATGATCTGGGAACTTGCAAGAATGAGCAAGGCAGGGAAAACAAAGAAGATTAATTGTCAGTTGCAGAATTCTAATTAAAGACCTCTGTAGGAAGCCCAGTAGAATTATATCAACCTGGCCACTATTAGCTGTGATAGAGGCTAGACAATAATATAGTGTTTTAGCTATTTCCTTTTTCCCCCTTAATTTGAAGTGTGTGTGTGTGTGTGTGTGTGTGTGTGTGTGTGTGTGTGTGTGTGTGTAATGATACAGTCCACATGTACTGAGCAGAGGGCAACTCTTAAGAGTTCATTCTCTTCTTTCACTGTATGTGTCCCAGGGATTGGACTCAGTTCCCTATTTATATTTTTATCTTCGTATTTTTGAAATTAAAATATAATTGCATCATTTTTCATCAGCATAGAATCATAATAATAGAAAAATGAAAGGAAACATGAGTATTGAACAGGAACTGGTGCCCTTTACAGCAGTGTAGGAATTTAAATTCAGCCTCTTCTCACAGGAGCCTTCTCCCTGTTTGTTGGTGAATGCTTGGTGGTTTCATCTACTAACAGACTGTAGAAATCAGTTATTAGTTTGTGAGACTTATTTTCTTTTTTCACTTCAGTTGCAAACATGCCAACATATTCAAGGTTCTTAACTTCTTCAGTCATTTACTTTAATCCTGGCTTGACTAAATAGCCATTGCATTTTTAATACAAAATATTGAAAATATATTACATACATCAAGGGATCCTTTCTCATTACTTCTTGTTTCATTGTGATCTGTTTCCCATTGATCCCCCTGTCCTGGAAACATTCCATGTAGAAATCCCCTAAAAAGCCTTTAATGGTATAAACTTGATCTGTGAAGTGATGGTTCCAATGTTATGTAACTTGAATATTAATATTATATAATTTATATTATTTATTATATTAATGCATTAACTTCTATTGTCTACTCCAACTTCTCTTATCTCTAATATATTTGATTCATTTACTATCCATTTCTTCTTTCCTCTATCAAAGCTACTCTTTTTCTAAAGCCAATTCTATCCCCTAATTTAGACCATGAATTCCCATAATCTTAGAGACTATCAGTACTCATTAACCTTTATATTGAATGTGTATTATATTTATAAAGAATGTTAATAAATAATTATTAATATTTATCAAATGTGTTTATCTCAGGTGTGTTTAAATATATTAAGCTAGGCAGAATGGTTCTTCAAAGATGTATATGCCATAAGTTTTAGCATTGGCTGGCATTTTACATGACATGGTAGAGTTGATTTTCATATGCAAGGAAAATGAATATATAATGGGGAAGAGAACGATTCAACTAGACATCATATGCTGCCAAATAAAATTCCCAATTTCAGGAATGGGTTACAACTTTCTGAGCCATTGGCCAAATGAGTTTCATAGATTCCCCTCTTCAAACATCATAGGCAATTTCCAATGCTATTACTTATTCTTCATAACCTGACAGTAAAATCCCATTGGTGAAAACATCACATACTTATATCATAAAACATAGAAAAATCGAGCTGGGGCTTAAATTAACTAGAAGCTTCACCCATAACTGACTAGCATTCAAAGTGATGGAAGATACTGTGTTGCACTACCAGAGGAGAAATGTAGCTATTTGCAATAGAAAGCTTCTAGCAAAGGAGAGATCAGTTTTCTTCAATGGAGTGGTACTGAGTATATTACCTACACTCCAGAGAAGGTCACATGATCAGGAATAATTGCTCCAAACAAAATGGACTCAAGGTTTTTGTTTTTTCTATCTATCTATCTGTCTGTCTGTCTGTCTGCCTGCCTGCCTGCCTACCTACCTACCTATCCACCTATCATATATCTATGATTTATCTATGTATCGTCTATTTATTATTTTTTGAGAAAGAATATAAACCTGTGCAGTCAAAGGAGGATTTAGAAGGTGTTGTCAGAAGGAATAAAATGTTTCATATGAAATAGTTAATTTTAAAAAAGAGTGGGGAAAACAGAAGGAAGATGACGACAAGTCTTGCAACCCTGAAGTGAACACAGCAGACGTTCTGAATGTGCGGCTGTGGCGCTGGGCCACCAGAGCCTCCCCAGGGAGTGCAGTCCTGCCAAAACCTGTTTCTTGCCACTCAGACCTTTGATCTACAGACTTTAATAAGATTACAAATGCATACTACTTAACTGTGGAGATAATCCTGAGAGCAACAGAAAAGTATTGTGTATCTCTTAAATCCCATTGATGAGATTTCAACAAAAAATAACAGATTCTGCAAATGTGAGGTCATTGTTTCTCCTGTACCCACTGAGCCTACAGTCTTGCAGGCTATCCAGAAGAGCTAAGTCTTTAAGGTTTAGGGTGATTACCTGGAACAGAGCCTGAAATTCCAAAGGTATCAATGAAAGGAAGAGGTTCTTTGAAGGGGCTCTGTAGGAAGGAAATTACCAGAATCTAGAAAAAGTATTTTGTCTTTAGTGAGAATGTTAAAATGCTGAAAAAGTGCTAAAAGCATAATGTGGTCTTCCCAAAGTACCAAGGGATAAGACAAGTGAACATGTCTTCCTTATATAGAAAGAAGAAATTCATTAGAAAATCCTTTAGTAAAAAGATCCCTGCAAAGGCCTCAATGTGGATTAACACTTGGCCATTATTTCACAGAATCACACAGTGACTGATCCCTGACCACTCTCACCTTACTGTCATTTACTATTTAGACATGAAGCCCCTAGAAGCCAATAAACGGGAGCATAAATTAATAAATATATAAAAATCGGCCTTTTATATCCACAGAAGGTCGGGGTGAAGAATGAAAACATGTACTTAGTAAGATGGGGATATAGAAGGAAGGTGATTGCCTCTTGAAATAAAACAAAACCAGAAACAACTTAAACATGTAAAGGTTCTAACTACAACATTGTCCTGATGGTTGGCAGAATCACACAAGCTAGGTCCTTAAAACTTAGGCTTATGAAAGAAAGAAGAGCATAATCCACCTCAAACACTGAAAAAATACCTTGTGAAATCAGATTAAAAATGTCTCAAGGGGGAGGGTATTGGTCCTGTCTCAACTGAATGTACCAAGGCTTAGCTCTCCCCACTATGGGAGAACTTACCCTTTTGCAGGAGGGGATGAGGGGTGGGTCAGAGGAGGGGGGAAGGTGATGGAGGGAGCAGGAGGAGGGATGAGGGGGTCTGTGGTTGGTATCTAAAATGAGTAAAAAATGTACCTAATGTCAAAGTACTGACAAGGGACATGACTGAAAACTGACTTATACTATAGAATTGATCCAAAAGACTAAATGAATAATACAACCTCATGAAGGAGAAAGGAATAGGGAAGGAGAGAATAAACACTAGAATGTTTTCTTAAGCTTCAGAAAGGCCTGGGTTTGCATATTTTAAAGGTTCACTCAAGTTTTATGATTCCTCTATGAGAAAAATAATGTAGAACCTTTCCAAGCACAGTTAATCCCAAAGATGGGAAGAGAAAGACCACTGACCCAGATGATCATGGCCAAATTAATTAAAGCAAGTAGTTAATTAAAGCAAGCCTTTTTAGTTGTTTACACAGGCTGCCTCCCCTAAGGCTGATTTTGAAAAGTTCAGCCTTGGATGTGAGGAAAACAAAGTTTTTATAGCTCATGGGTTAGGGATTTCCAAAGGGGAGATTTGGCAGGCAAAATAGGTAGGGTTACAGGAGCAGAACATAAGCATAACAAGTCAGTCCTACACAGTCTCCTGAAACAAAGATATGGTTGCAAATTGGGCATA